GCTCCCTGGGAGATCACTGGTCAGACAGGTTCGGAGCCCCCTTGCATAATGACTCACCCCCTGCCCTGCTGGGCCGTGCTGCAGCCAGTGGAGGTCACTCACAACCCACTGCCCAGCATAGCAACCAGCAAGGTACCCCCACTACGTCACAGAGGGTCAGGGTAACCCTCCTCCCGGCCGCGCTCCTGAGCCTCCCAGCAGTGCCCTCACACCCTCCTGTCCTGTCTCATCCCCTCTGAGTGTGCGGGTGACCGGGCTCTCCCCTCTTCGGCAGCATACGTCTCCCTGAAATGCCCGCCCTTCCCCGGCTGGGCGTTCAGGCATGGATCCTGCGTGTGGCTGGAGCTCAGGGGCAGGTAACTGGCTGCTGATGTGCTGGAGATCAAGCCCTCCCCGGATGCGGTGAGGAAATACTGACTAACCCCTGAGTCTGGAGCCGAGGGTGGCTGGGCGCGTCTGTCTGATGGGGACCGGCATCCCAGGGCAGAGGGGTCCTGTCCTGCCTGGGTTTGCTGCTAGAGAGCCTGTCTCCCGTCACGCAAGCAGCCCTCTAGACCCTGCAGCTCTTCCTGCGCCGCAACCAGTATCGCAGCTTACAGAGGTCAATGGGAGCCTATGAAAACCCATCTCACCAACTCCCAGCAGGCTCTCCCGGTCCCAAGGACCAGCCCCATTCCCAGGGCAATGGGTACCTCCGATCTGACCCAAACGAGCACGCCGGGCCAGCCCTTTAGCATCTACCATCTAAGGCATGGGTTCCCAGACTGGGGGGCGTGAAGAAATTCCAGGGGGGGCGCAAGGTGACCCAGCCCCCCAGCCAATCTCCCCCACTAAGTTTCGCTGCTATTCTTGTTTTTTCGGCCCTGGTCAGTTCCTTTTTCTTTGCTCAACAAGTTTTGCTGCTATTGGTGGGGGGAGGGGGTGTGAGGGTTTCTCAAAAATCAAAAAGGGGGCGTGATGCCGAAAAGTTTGGGACCCACTGCTCACTGCTCTAAAGGCTTTGAAAAGAAAGCAAAGGGTGAGCGTCCAATTGTTAACGGAACACATTGCACACGCGTGTCGCACAGGCTCGTACAGAGAGAAACTGCTCTCGTGAAAGTCTCCAAAATCATCCCTTGGGTCAACAAAAGCTTCCGGGCCCTTTGTACCTAGCAAAGGTGCTTCTGAAGCGATGAGCTGGAATGCAGACAAAAATGGAGGCACCTCTAGGGCCCTTTGGATAATCTTGCCCGTGTGGGGGGAATCCCATTGTCCTCCGGGGTGAACGTACCTCCCCAAAATGGAGTTTGTCACAGGCGTGAGTCTCCGGTCCACGTCCTTAGGCGAGCGGCCCTGGGGGGCCCGTCTGACGGCAGGTTCGCAGGGGGGTTCCTGCGAGGGGCGTTGGCCGCTCGTGGGGCCCGTTGTCAGTGCGTATTGCTTTCCGCCAGGTTCGCAGGGGGGTTCCTGCGAGGGGCGTTGGCCGCTCGTGGGGCCCGTTGTCAGTGCGTATTGCTTTCCGCGCGAGCGTTCGCAGGAGCGGGGCCGTGTGCCTCTCCCAGAAGCAAACGCAACCCCCAGCCCTGCGAGTGGACACCGGGAGCGGAAGCAGGCGGCACACGGCTTGCACACCTCCCGCGGCACACGGCTTGCACACCTCCCGCGGCACACGGCTTGCACACCTCCC